GTGTTAATTTTAATTTTCCTTTTCACGAGGGAAACCGTGACTTCATTTTTTGTTTATCGTACCTTTGCGTGTCTATATTTCGGGAATGCCTCTCATATCTCTGCTATGTAAGATATACGTCAATAACAAAAACGTACAGCGCGATATAAATTTGCTAGGAAAACATGTGTGAATGTAAGTGGCCGACCGTCATAAAGCGATTCGCTAAGTGGGACAGGTGCTCCTAAAACAGAGATTACTGTGGCGGCGATTCATAGAAGTCATGTCATCCCCAGTCGAGGGGAGGCTGGGGAAAGGTAGTGCACTCAACATGATCTGAAGGACGCAAATAGCAATTCGGGACCATCCGCGGTAATGTCGCAGGTGTGCTTAGCATAGTGAGCTGAAAGTGCTGAATACGGAACCGATAATTTCCGTTTTGTCGAGCTGTATTACTTTGCTGGTTGTTATTGAGAGAGAATGAATGATCCTTCATGAGCTGGATCTGCTCTGCCAAAGAAACAGCGGCATTATGCAGAACAAATGGTCTCATCAATACATAAGACGAAAAAGCACTAGAAAAAGCTATTTCTCACAACTTAACGTGGCAACCCAGTTAACCAGGGTAGCCACCTCAAATGCACCACTCCGACGATTTACACGCATTCGAGGAGTAGACGAACTAGTAACAGCTCGTTACTCATAATAATATTGCAGAATAGTGGAGGCAATCCCTGTGGACAGAATTTGTGATAAGAAGTGCCAAATGATAGGAGGAAATGAAGCAGAACCTCCAACGATAGTTGATCCGAAAGGAAGGCAGCGGGATCAAGAAGGTAAAATAAACACATTGTAATTTGCTGGACCAAGGTATCCCAGAGAAGGAGTAGTCAGATCATGATGGAAATATCTTGATGAAGTGGGGTGTAGAGTTCTGGAGGGAATGGGCAGAATCAGATAAGTATTGGAGCCATGATATCGATTATGATTTTTTGCATAATTATAGAAGATTGCCCAGCGTCTGGTTAAACCTTTACCGCTTTTTAGGTATCGTACTTTTACGGGTGTATAAACTTGCTGTGAAACACGTGTTATAGAAGAAGGCCATTACGTAGACACGTCAAACCGCTAAATAGATGGTCCCATCGAAAGAAGCAAAACAACAGAGAAAGCTTAGAAATTATAAAGGTAAAATAGCCTTCACCGTTTCATGGAAATCCACCGTCGACAGCTTGAGAGCTTAGCCTAGTCCTGTAAACAACATCAGAAGTTTGCCGTCTATAGGGAGCCTCTCCTATTGACTTCATTTTCTGAACCTCTTTAATCTCTCAACATCATCGTGCATTTTGCAAAGTGCATCTTCAGGACGTCATCAGATTCCTCAGACATCTGACGAGAAACTAAAGATAAAGCTTCTAACGTTGATCAGTTCGTTTCTGATATGCTTCTATATTCCACACTTAGAGTGAGGGTTTAATCGCACACGACTTGAGCTATATAGTGACTTGTCAGCGCTAGCCAGTGAAAAGTTAAGTTTTCTCGCATCCAAACAACTAAGTTGTCTCGAGAAAGCGGAGGCAGTGATTAATCTGTGCATCATCATGTACATGGTAAGCGGCGCCAGGTGAACATAGAACATCTCCCTTGGGTATTGTTAGATTGAATGCCGTGCTGTTCCTCGTCACCATGTCTGCCCAAGTTAATCTAGCAAACTGGAAAATACAGCCGGAAAGGCATAGCACCAGCTCCTGACATATTGGATTTGAGCGTAGATAATTACTGGTTAAATAAGCTCAAGTCGAAGGTTACGTTCAACATACGGGACTGGTTTCAGAATCCGTAAACTCTGAAGGAGAAGGAGCAATTCAGAAAAGAAGAGAACCGGAAAGGGTTAACGATAGGTTTGAACCAGAGCAATCTTGTGTCCAGCAGCGAGAGAGTTAGATAATTGAAATGATTCGAAATGAGTTGAACATAAAAAGGTGACTCTAGAGAACGCTTCGTCCAGAAAACTAAAGATTCGAACGAAATGAGAGGAAAGTGAATTTCTGGTAAGAACGCAATTCCTTCGCATTGCTCTGCCACAGATTTTCTTGTCTACGAAGTCCCTCCAAAAAACAATGGGTTAGGATATGTGTTTGCTAAGAAATGGCTGCCCCTCATCAGTATATGTTATCTGAGATCTGTACCAGTAAAGCGGATGTTGAACACCTGTTCATTCAGGACGGCCACATGCGGAAGAGAAGGTTGCTTCAGTTCACTGAAGCTCAAGTGATTAATTTGAGCGTACCAAAGAAAAAGAGGGTGCTAAGCGCCATGGAGCGACCACATCGACCAAAATCGTGCTTACATGGGATATTCAACCTCGCTTTCATCTGAGAGAGTATTATCGCACCCGGAAATTCAAGAAATGAGCAGATCAGTAATGAATAGAACAGCATAAACTATAGCCTTTTTGAAAGAACACTGGTCATAGGGGTGGATTCACTTGACCCGCTTATACGTCCTAATGATTACCCCCTCTTCTCTGATGCTTAAGCAGAGGGCAGTCTCGGCAGGAATTGTGCAATGGTCTAAATGGCTCCATCAACACTATCCTTCAGGAATGTACTTTTTCGGTTTTTTAAGCGGTTTCGCCAGCTCTATACTTTTCTCTGATCAACCAATTATTAGATGTACTTTCACTATCGCACGCAATATATCTATCACAGCTGGATAATCGTATAATACGACTTCAGATTCAGATTTTGTGGGTTATTCTAGGATTGAAGAAGCCAGTGGCTGAATGTGGCACCTATGTATAGAGATCCAGAGTAGTGAATGATTAATCGCTAGTATAATACGAATTTAATATGCGCTAAACAAGTCTGCAAATGACGTCCACACGCCCCTCACGCGTATCATATGTGGAATTCACACTCCTAGCCCTATGTAGTACTCTGCGTTGGACGTATCCAATTATGTGAACGCTTTCTCGATTAAAAAGCCGAGTTCTTTTAGAGGGTGAATTTCTGCGAAAAAGAGGGACCTTCATCGAAGTTTTCTCACGAAATTATAAAAGTGTTTTGTGTCGTCTATTAACTGATCTGCATAGGCAGAACCTGGCCCTGACCTCGATCGCCGAACCAAGCTTTTGATACTTGTGCAATCCCATACAGATTTTTTGCAAAGCTAAAATTGAAGGAGCATTCTACTAGTTGTATTTGATTCAACCCAAGTAAATTTATGCGACAAACTTACTAAACATTTGGGGTGAACTGCAGCTTGGGATCGTAGGCTGAAAAACTCAGTTCAAACGGGTCAGAGAACGCTAGCTCGCATACGTCACACATGTCTAATAGAATACGTCCAGTGTTTCAATTGTAATAAACTAAGTACAAACACTTCACCGCGACGTTTGGAACTTGTGAAAACTGCGCTTTTTCAAGGTACACCCCCGACCAATATAGTACTTTCTCTTGGAACTTGCTCGAATAATTACTGATCTAAGCTACTCGCCTTGACGTGTGTTGAATTATGAAAAAGGTGAAGCTTGGCAAAAAGTGCTATTCGAGATACAATTTGTTTTTTGAAGGGGAACCAATGTCCCATTTGTCAAGTGACGATGAAACATGTGCGTAGCATGAGGAGTTCAAGGGTTGAAAAGTAATGTTACAAAGAGCAGTGGTGGATTGAGTTTTTTTGGGCTACCACCTGAACGCTAATAGCTGGCTTGAAAAATGCTGAATTATGGGTCAAACTTTCGCTCCAGACGGAAATCGAACCTGCACTCTCAGCTTTATGTCTGTTGTGTTAACGACCATTTCACCTCAGCCCATCTTCGGTGGTATTTTTGTCGTAGCTCATTAGTAATCATAAGTCAAAGTGATGAGCCGATTAACCGATGTCGGGAGTGAAGCGCAAGCTCTAGCAGATTTTGGCTGGTTTTTGTATTTTTTGACAGTTGTTTTGATGTCGCAATCGCGTTACGATTGTCTCACAGGAGTGCTGTGTGGGTGCGATTCACTGCCGGGGTGCACTGGAAATAGGGCCACTACCATATACGTTGGCTGAAGAAAGTCACCTGAATGAGGTCTTACCCGGACCAGCCAAGTCTCTAGGACGATTCTTTGCTCCCAGAAGTGTAAGTTGCAGAACAAGACACATTACTAACATTACTGAGGCCTAACGGCCACAAAAGTTTTGCGGTCACTTATATGTATACATATAACTACATGCACTCCACGTACTCTTGACAGAGGTGGGGGAGAGGGCAGTTAAAAAGATACATTTAATCTCATTAACCCGAATTTAATCACACTTGGTTAATCCAAACCGAGTTTTGAACAACACATCCATTTCATAAAAAAAACATTTCATAACAGGCCTTCTACGCAGATGACACCGGAAAGGTCTGCTTTGAAACTATAGTGCACAAGTCGATCTCAAGAGAATCCTCGAAGGATCCTGTACCATTACCACATTTTTGGAAAGCGGGTTTTGAGAGGGTTTGCATAGTCGGAGCTAATGCTTTTAGGAACCTATGCCAGTGAATCAATTCAAAAAATTGTAGGAGCTTCTAGCTGGAGCATTACGGTAAGTCTCTTTGAGCTGGAAGGCGCTTGCAGATTACGTAATATTCTAAAGGCAGTAAGGGCTGAGGAGGGCATGCGTCTACGCGTAGAGGACTATTCGAAAGATATTACGGTATAAGACTTCCACCATCGACGGCAATACTTGCGACAAAAAAAATCACGGAAATCTTTACTGGGCAATATTCCTTTTTCACAACCATCCCCCTACCTGTACAGTATTATGATGCAGAGACATACTCTTGATTAAATTTTTACATTTCCCCATGACTATATACTTCACGTTGCTTCACGTTCGACTAAGGAACCTGCCTCTTGGGTGGCAGATGTGTCGACTAAACACCAAATTCTTTCCGATTTGGTTACGAAGCTGCCGTTTGACGCGAATGCTCTCGTGGATGCGCTTAATAGCCTGATAAGATAAGAAGTGGAGGAACACTGTGCGCTCGAATGCTGGCCATAGGTGAGCCTTTTTTTACTTATTTTTTCCACATTTGAAACATTATTGTGGTTCCAATTGTATAATTCAGTTCTACTCGCATTCTCTCCATTGCTATGCGCGGCACAGTGGAGCAGTGTCTACGAGAAGTGAGTACCTCATTCCATGAAGTTTCATAGAGAATCATTACAACTCACATACATATGATATGCAGTTTGGCCTTGGACGATCTTGGAGCGCCCGGTTACACATGTGACGGGGAACTGATGAAGCCAAGTAAGAAGATCCCCACCAATGTGAATTCAGTTCGACCAGCCGACATCAAGGTGGTCATGGCACTCGGAGACTCGCTTACTGTAGGTTTTGCATATCATGAAGTACTCCTAGATTGGGCTGACGGACGACAAGATATGAGCTTCAGGCAGCTAATGGAGCCGGAGCTGAGGACCCTCTGGGTGTGGTGCTGCAATACAGAGGACTGGCCTTCCAAGCCGGTGGAGACAAATCTCTTGACGAGCATGCAACGATTCCTAGTCAGTTTTTTTCTATAATACAGGTCATCTTACATCCTTCTTATAGTGAGATGGAATGTGAGCAAAACGCACTTGTATACTTTCGGTTACTGTAATGCTTGTTGTGAGTCCGCTTAGTTTAGTAGTTTGCTTCCTCTCGTGAAAGACGGCTCGTTCTAACGTGAACAAATTTCGCAGCTCTTCACTGTTGGCGCGGCGGTGCATAGTCGACGCGAGGCAGCCCATAATGTGTACGTGTTAAAGGACTCTTCATCTCTCTATGATGCCCCTTGAGTATATCCTATCACGATTCCATCACTAACGTTATCACGAGGAGACTGATTTCTGGGCAAAATATGTCGAATCGAGCGAGAGTTGAACTAGGATCTCACGCCGACGCGGATAGGGTGTTAGCCAGGACGCAGTCGAGGGCTTTTTTCTTCCAAACGTTGAACTAGATCCAGTCTTTGAAGAGCAATCGCTGCAGTAAGTAGTTGAGACGAATCTGCCATTGCTCTGGGGCGGCGGAGATGTAAATAGCAGCTTGCTTCCGCACTCGCGGTCTGCCAGAAAGAAAAACCAAGGTCCAATCCTTGCGAGGCTTTTAGCTCGCAAACCAGAACCTCTGTTGGGCAGGGTGGGAGCGCGAATCTTCCTGGAAACCACGCACAGCAACACAAACCCATTGTAGAGCGTAAGACTTTGGATTTGTCGTCTTGTATACTTTTTTATAGCGCTGGCTGAATGAAACATTACTCAGTTTGCGTGGGTAGCTTTAACACTTCTGGCTGGAATCAACGATGCTATGTCAAAAATTTCGGGAGATAAGGCGTCTCTGCTGCAAAGAATGACAGGAGAGGCCGTTCATGGTGCACCAAGCTTATTCAAATGGTTGGGTGCGATGATGTAGGGGCACATGCAGAACCACAGAACGTGGTCGTTTTTTCTGAACGGCCCTCTGAATACCAGAAAAGGAGCTCCAAGTTCGATTCCTCGTTGTGAGAAGTTTTTGCATTTCGAGTTGACGTTTCAAAATTCGCGCAAACTGGATTTAGCATGAGTGATTAGTTCCATATTCATGATCAGGATCGTCAGTGATCCTCAAAATAGGGCGAAAGTTTTGTTCACAACCCAGCATTCTTGTGAAACCTCAAAATAGACTTTGATAAAAAACTAGCGAGAAAGTTGTAACATCACAGTGGGCCGTTTTGGTGTCGCACCCTTTTACCAGTGTTTTAATCAAAATCTTTTTGTAAAGATTACTGATTGTCCTAATTATGAATATGGAATTCAGTGTTCATGGTAACTCCATTTTGCGCGAATTTTGAACCGTCAACTCGAAATGCGAAAATTTGTCACCACGAAGAGTCGAACTAGGGACCTTTTTTTGATGTTTGGAGGGCCATTCAGGAGAAACAGACCATGGTTCTGTGGTTCCCACATGTGCCCTAATGTCATGCAAGAAACCATTTTGAAAAAGCTCGGCACATCCTGAACGAGGTCTTTTGAGAGATCTTTCAACCACTCATCGTTGATCAAGGTGTGGCTGGTGTTCCTCTTTATATCAGTCTAAATACACAAAAATATTGAAATTCGGATATGAAGTCGTTTGTTTTGTAGAGAAGGCCTTTTGTTATTGTGTATGTTTCGAGAAATTAGCCCATAACGCAGCGTCTTGTGGTAACTCCGCATGGCGAAATGTGGCTAAAACCAAAGCCTAACAATCAAAAATAAGTCAAAATTCATATCTATCAGAGTTACAAGCCTAAAGGTACCCTAGAGATGTCGGCTAATCAGCCCACGTGCGAGTCCCGATGAGCTATGGTAAATCTACCATAATAGAGATGGTGCCCTGGTAGCACTTCTACACGGTAAACAAGGGCTCATAACCCGTCTGGGACGAACAGACTCGCCCATAACTCAGCACTCCTATGTGCACACAAATCCTCGAGGCAACCTGAGGCATTTATGTATAATACAAGCAGTATACTAATCTCTGGTGGTAAGATACCCATATAATTAGTTCTGCAATAATGCTTTCAAAATGGTGAAAAAAGTGGATGAGGGTGGTGTTGGACTGGCGTAAAGAAGCTGGATACTAGCTCATGATTTCTGAAGTATTTCAGATATTCTCCGCAAATACAATCCCAATCTTTTTGGATACTCGAACGGAATCGGATCACCGAATGTCTGGGAAGTTGCTAAGCTGAACGTAGCCATGCCCGGTGCAGAAGCAAAGGACCTACCAGGTCAGGCTCAACAACTCGTCGGTCTGCTTCAAACCCATCCAGAGGTAACTTTTTGGCCTCGCTTTGAGACTCACGTGCACAGTGTGCACAGAAGTGGGAACACATCATAAGAACTTTTTCCTAAATGACAAATTAACAAAATGAGGGTAATAAGGTTCAGGTATAATCAAATACTTGAATATACTGAATTCAAATACTGGTGCTTTTTCAGCTATTACACAGACTTCAGTTGTTGAATTTATGTGATCAAGAAATTGTATTAACGCATTTAAGCGTGCAATCAAATAAATAAGTAAACAATTAACTAATTAAATAAATGAATAAGATAATAGATGCTATGCAACCCGACAATGAAGAAAGAAGAGAGAGAGGCCGTCAAAACTCTGAAAACATCCTCTCTGGCAGGCTGTAGCAGATCTAACAATAAGATCACTGTACTAGAATGTGGCTAGGAGAGCGCGGTGCACAAAGAGTGATCATGTCTACTGGAAAATGAGAAGTGTAGGGGCAAGAAAGATGATGCAGACAGGAGCTCGGCTTGGCAGCAAGGGCCAACCTGAACTGCTCAGGCACGTACATTTCCGCTAATTGGACATACTCCAGGAGGCTGGCGCAGTATGTGTATTTATAGCGAAATTCCCATTCTCTATAAAGTGGGGTGGCTAGCACAAGGAAATCTCTTTGTTACATGGATAATCTCTTTAGTGCACTCGCTCCAGCACAGATATAACTGCTCGAGCTTCTTGAATCACGAAGAAGCGTGCACAGTTACAGAGTACAGAGTGAGCCATAGATATGGTAACAAAGTGCTGATGGTATAGAAAGCGAAAGTGGAATTGAAAGCTCTGCTGATATTTTTTGTACAATGTGTTGCATCAATGGAATAGCTGCAAGGTTGTTGGAAAGCGTTACACCGCCACCATGCGCAACTTATAGGAGAATCAGCCCGCAGAGTTTCGGGTGTCCCCCAAGAGGCGCTAGCGCGAACAGACGCAGATGCCGCAAAGGGCGAGTCGCAGCGCGTGCTGTACGATACGAGACGTGGTATGGTACATTCTATTCAACCTGACGTCTAACCAGGATCAACCGTCCGTTGAGCACAACCCAACGAAGGATCGTATTGATTCGGCCAACCGAAAAGGGGGAGCGGGTCGTACTTGCAAAGGAACACGTCGCAATACAATATAGTGAGAGAGAGGTCGGTCTATCGTTGCTACTTTTTGGGACTTTTTTAACGACCCCCGTCCCTGCATGGCCTCTGGTACGAACCCCCCTGGTGTACGCTCAATAGTGGATGAGATACTTAAACAATATAAATCGCATATAACTATCAAGAACTTCGTAGACAGAAGAATGCTGGATTTCATAAAAACGATTACCGTTCTCAAACGACACGTACGCTGGATTTGAATAAGTCAGTTGTGACGCGGCACATCCATGCTTAGGGTAAGGACTGGCGGTTCTGAATGGAGGAATCGCGGCTCTGGTGAACTGTATGGGGCGCGTTGTTGAATGGGAAGGCGGTGTCGAAGGGGAAATTGGGAAGTTAGAGGAATTTTTCCTTGTACAGGGCTCCTCGACGGCGGGTGGATTCGGGATCACCGACGGTCATCCTCTTTAAGTAGAAGCGGATTTGCTCTACACAATCTCAAATAATGTAAGTATATGAGCAGAAATAATTTGCACTAAATTTTTCCCTCCTTTTTCCGGCATAACTTTTCTTCATATTCGAGCTTTTGCGCCGGAGTTATTGATTTACAAATTCAAAATCATTCTGCTCTCGCAATCATGATTAAAATTCATCGAAAGCTAATTAAGAAGAAATTTTAGCACGTTAGAACTTTTTTGTGTGGCAAGTAAATCGACTTTTCAACCTTTAACGATCATATAACTTCCCTTCCATCTCATTTATATTTGGAACTGCAGCACGATGTATAAAACTAACAGGATTCAAGCTCTCTAAAAGTGTCCAAACGTTTCAATAAAAGTTCGAAGTATCAAAATTATGCCCGTTGCACATTTTTTAGGGGGTTCGCGACTATTATTTCTGAACCCGCCGACTTTTCAAGCTTTTAAACGACCAAATTCCCTTCATCTATTATTTGGGAAGCTGAACACGGTATGGAGACTACAGAATTCAAGCTTCCAAAAAAAAACTTCCAAACGTTTCTTAAAAAGTCAGTAGTTCACCCATTAGTCCCGTTGCTCCCATTTTTTGGGTGGGGGGGCATTCTGCCCAGGCCATTCTCTTGGAAAAGCGGTTTTTTTAGGTTTCACTGGCCGCAACCTCCAGGGAAAACAATATCCTGTTGACCACGGTATGCGTTAGAATGCTTTATGCATGCGCTTGCACTGATATCCCCTGCCTTGGAGTGCGCTACGCCTCGGTCGCGCTTCTGATTAGCTGATTCATTCGAAGGCTCATTCAGAAGGAAGCAGCGTACAAATGCTCTACCATCAATTACCTTGCGTCAACGCAATGTGGTGAGTCAACGCAGCTGTCTTAGGCAGTCCAGCTACACTTCAGTTTCAAATGTGGTTTCGTGGGTGGACCCATGTCATGGTGGAAGCGTTGCTATTTTTGAACGATGCTACATGTCTTGCAGCTGCTGTTTCTGCAAGTTTTCTTTTCTCATGCTCTTCCTGAAACACGGTTATGATCAGTAGGGAAATTACCACAAATCCCACTCTCGGCCAAAGAGAGAATACTACCCCCCCCCTCCGGGTCCATACAAGTACGACCCCCCCGTTGCTACTTGTAGCAACATATGGTTGACCCTGAGTGAGAGGCATGACTTTCGAATGCTTCCCCAACTATTAAACTCAAACGACTGCATGCCGCATCTAAGAGTGATGAGTCTACTGCAGTAGTGTCCATATTTGAATGTTCACGTACACAAATATGCTCTCGAGAAGATGTCTTCAAACTGGGCTTAAATCAGTAGAAGAGTGACCATTTGGGTAGAATGGCTGTTTAAGGCTTGCAAGAAAAGTTTTGAAAAATTTACTTGCCTGTTGGCGACTTAAAGAAAAGGGTTTAGTATTTGTTATGAAGCACAAACCAATGTCACGGTTTCATTATTCCCCATAAAACTGAGTTTGAAGAGAGCTGTTAGTGTTTGACTGTTCAGGAGAGCAGCTGCGAAAATTCATGAAAAAAAAACGGTCCAGCGGGGCGACTTTCGAACGGGTCACTTTGAAAACGAGATCGACAATTCTTTGGGAAGCACTAACCTTCTAGTTTCTTTCGGGGGGACAAGAGTTGCAAAAAGTTGTATACGAAAAAAGTTATAACAGTTCGAAGCCAAAAAACCAGCGCTCTGCAAAAAATCGGTCCGCGATTTCCCCAAACGGTCCAACGAGGCGATTTTTTGACTCCAACAATTTTGGAACCTCCTCTAAGTCCGTCGGAGATATTCGTGAAACAAGAGAGGGAGCTTGTGCTGGGCATCGCCGCCCAGTAATACTAGGGTTACTGAAGAGTCAACGTAAACAGCGTTCGAACTGAAAGTAAAGCAAGACGAAGTCTGCCTTTTCCCTGGGACGGTAGTAAAGTGCCATAGACTGGGAGTTAAAGCTGGTGAACTACAGCCGTAAACGGTGAGTAATGAAAGGCGAGACAGCCAGGTGACCCCGCTCTGAATGGCCTACTTGAAAGGACAACGTCGCAATACGAACTGAGAGCATGTTCGGTCCATCCGTTGCTATTTGTCTGTCTCGTTCTTGTCGTTCTTTTTTCGGTTTTGCCGGGGCTTTTTCTTTTGTTTGTGTTTTTTATCTTCTCTTTTTTTTTGTTTTGCGTTTGTTCTCTTTGGACTTTTTTAACGACCCCCTCCCTGCATGGCCATCTGTAGGAACCCCACCCCCTGGTGTATCTCAAAGTTGATTAATACTATAAACAATTAAAACTCGAATAACTATCAGAACTCGTCCAAAAATCTGATTGTATCATAAAAAAACGCGTTACGTTCCAAAAGACACGTACGCTGAATTAGACACTAAATCAATTTGTACGCGGCACCTCTATGCTTAGGCTATAAGACTGGCAGTTCTGAATGGAGGATCGCGCCCCTCGTGACTGTAATGGGGCGCTCTTGGTCTGATGCACTTTTTGTTTTAGTCTCGTGAATGGGCAATCGGCTGATCGAGAAGGGAAATTGGGAATAGAGAATTTTCCTGTAGGCTCCTCGAGCCAGAGTGGATTCCTGGCCATCACACGACGTCTCCTTCTAACACATTGACACATTGAGACCGTGTACCGCTCTCACTTTTTCGCACCTCGTTTGACATTTGAAACGCGTTACCGCGTCTCACCTATCATCTCTTCTCTAGGCATGCGCGCTTTCCCCAATTGTTTGTCCTCTCTCCTACTCGGATAGAACATAACATTCATGTGAACAGACATAGTCATTGTTGTTCAAACATAGCTCCATTTAGCACGCCAGCTTTCCATCTCTCACCGCAATACCGGCGGCGTTGGTTCTAATTATTTTCATCTAATCTCAGAACACTCAATATAAAAGGGTAGTAAAGAAATTGCAAGCTAAGAGAAAAAATACATTTTCACTTGATTATTTATTTTAATCTAGTCATTCAATAGAGAGCTTTTGGCATTCACTACAGATAAAATGACTGAAGTCCTTTCCATACCATTACATATTTTATCCGAACTTCGCACTATATTACCTACATTACTCTCCGCATTGGCTGTCTACTTGGAGATGTTTTTGTAACCTTGTGCTTTAAAAAATTATCAATAAATATTCATCGGATCGAGTGCGCGGTCGCACTCGCCAAAATCGGGGCCGTCCCCCAAGCTGCAAAAAGCCAAAACGTCCGCTGTCGTCAATGTTCAAGTTAAGCGATTTCCTCTTAAACAATCTCAAAATAATTCATTATGGAGCAAGACATGATTTGCACTAAAATTTTCCACCTTCCTCTTTGTCCTGGCCACATTAACTTTCTCATATCGAGCTTCTGCCTCCGGAGTATGATGTTACGAAAAAATTCAATTCCATTCTCTCTCCAATCATGATAAAAATTCATCGAAACTCCTTAAGGTAAGAATTATAGCACTTAGCACTTTTTTCTCGTGCAAAGCGACTTTTCA